GAAAGAGAATGCAATGCTTTGTAGGAAAATATTTAACGAAATACGCTTGTAAAAAAATTTTCACGGCCGTCGTGTACGATTAACTTCGATAATATTTCGCAGACATATGATTAACAGTGCTAACAATGAATTTTATGAAGTCACGCTGATCTTGTATCTTATATAAGATATTGAAATTCAAAAAAAGTTATACGAACAGTACGATAAATTACGCCCATATTAGAAAATTAATCATAATTTATCAAATCTCTACAAAGAAAAAGAAAAAAAAGATATCGCGGGTAGGAGCTGCTCGACGATCTCAGGTACCTCCGAATACCCTAGAAAACTCAGAAACAGGTCGAGGAGGGAAAATCGTCGACTACTACCCGAAAAGGGACAAAAGGCAACCGCGGAGTCGAGCCGGTTGCATCGTCGGTTAGCCTTTAATCTCTCCTCTGTATCTTTATTATAGTTGCGATTGTACGATGAGGAGGATTGTGTGTAATAGGGGAGAAGAGAATATTGCTAGCCGATTGAATAGCCAATCAAAGCGATCGATACAGCTGATCAACCCCATGGGACGTTTGTACTTTACGACGTTAAATCTACTCTTCTTAGTTACAATCTAACACCTCTCTTGTTCTTTTGCTCAAAATACGAATATGTGTCTCTGTCACAGAAAGAAAGTTAAGGATAAAAAATGCACGATAAAAAAACCAAATCTATTTATAGTCGATAAGATTAATAATTATAATTGAATATGTGTTTTCTTTCTGTTTAGATACATTCTCTATACGAGAGTAGTTCGAAAAGTTCTCGGCCTGACACAGAAATAACGCACACAAATATCAAACTGCTATAATTTTAGACAAGTTTAATCCTTTACAGGATTACTGTTAAAATTTCGGACAAATGTGTTCATTAGTTTCTTTATTTCGGTCGTGTAAAGCAGCTAACTTTTGATTTTTTCATGACAATGCACCCGCTCACATTTCTGTAATTGAAAAAATTTAAACGAATATATTGCCATGATGGAACCAAACGTTGGTTGCTTTAGGGCGTGTTCGGATTCCCACCCGGATACTCCCCGGGTGTCATGTTATTCTTATTTAATGTTCGATAAATAACAAGAATGGAGTGATATCTAACAATGAGTGACACTCGAGTGGGAATTTGAACCCAACACTACATGATTAAAACAAAAAAACTAACGAATGCATCTATCTGAAATTTTAACAGTAGCACTGTGAAGGATCAAACTTGTCTAAAATTATAGCAGTTTGATATTTGTGGCGTTATTTCTGTGTCAGGCCAAGAACTTTTTGAACTACCCTCGTATGTGTCTATAAGATCTTTCCTTTTGGCATTTTTTATTCCTCATAAACTTGGAAAACTTCTCTTCTTTTTCAGTGAAAATTTGATTAGATTAGAGTATAATATAATATTCGTTGAATATTTTCGTAACAAAACCTTATAATACAATTTCATTGAAGTAAAAAGAAATAAGATTACCTGTTTCCACACAGAGAGAAAAATATTTGGTATTTGTAACTATAATTATATATTATTATAATTATGATTATT